TTTTTGTAGTTATTTTAGTACCCCTAAAATAGCTATATGTCCACTGCTAGATGCTATTACAAAATTTTGGGAACATTATACTATTCATAACATTGATGTATTGCAACTTTGGTGGATGTAGCTTGGGTTATTCTGCCACCGGCATGCTACTCTATGAAAGAGATCATATTTTGCTAGAATTTTTTATGCTTTCAACTATGATTTTTACATGTTTCTTAACAAAGTTAATTACCCTACTCTTCATGTCCCAAACAAGTGGCAAGATCTTAACAGCCTATGTTGGTAAAATGGTTTTGATCGGAGGCTAAGCTTGTGAAGGTCAACATTGATGGTAGGAAAGAGAATCGAGTGATTTAGAATAAAGGGTAACTTATAGTAACTTCATTAGTTTAGGAGTTAAGTAGTTACTTAGATACATACTAGTTTACAATATTATAAATTTTATATGACATTGATGCGTCCAAATATGTTCAGATGCATATATATCACGATACATGAGGTAAAATTAGCAGTAATTTGTTAGATTATATACAAGTATGAATTGCATGTATCTAGGATATATAGTCAAGCCTTAATTGTCTCTCATGCTTTCCTCACATCTTGATCGTCACTCTCCATTGTATCTTGTATCCTACGAGACATGTGAAGATCTAGTGTAATTCACATGTATCTGGGATTTATAGAAAAATATTGTTGCCTGATATATCTTACTTTGAAATATAGTATGAAGTTATTAATTAATCATATAAATATTAGTATATCAAAATATAGAGAACTAGTAAATATGATAAACAAATTTTGTAGTTTGGTAGTTTTTCCTAGAATAAAGGATTAGTTAGGGAGAATTAAGTCTTTATGGCTCTATTTTAGGCTATTTTAATGAGTAATGTATCTCAATACATTTAACTCTAAATTTGGTACATGATAAATAAAAAGGTGGTATAATAAATAATTATTTGAAAGTATAGATTGGATTAGTAGATATGGTATGAATATAGGAGAAACTACTTAATTACACAAACGCTATTGCCTTATTTACTAATTCTTTCTATAATTTCAAATAATTACATTTTAATCTCACTAAAATAATTTAATAGAAGTTTTCAAGTTAGATAGATACATGCGTAGATATACATTATATAAATGTATCTTGTTTGATTCACGTGTATTTGAGATGTCGATATGCAAACATGATACGAGATTTGCGAGTGAAACGAAAGGAAGCATGCAAAAATTTTCTACGTATCTCATATAAATGTGTATCTAGTTGGATACAATATAGCTATAACAAATTATACCTAATTTTAATCTCATATATCCCAAGATATATGTATCTGAAAGAATATTTGGAACACATCAAAATTTGATAAAGTACATAATTTGCAAACTAGTATATCTCGGTAACAACCCTCAAAATGAAATAGGGTAACTAGAGACTATCATGTGTTTAAAGAGTTATTAAGTAGTTAATAATGTGTTAAACTGATCGATAATGTCTTAAGGGGTAAGTTCTAAAGAGTTTGGAAGTTGTACGTCAAAGAACGTCCAAGACGTTTGGAAGTTAGTTTTGTATGTGCTAGTGTGCTTTTGAATGTTTTATGTGTTGTTTGGTATTCAAAATGATAGGGGAGGTACCTAAGACTTTGATGAGCATGTTTAGGGTAGAAACATCCGGATACGACTCCTCAGTGACCATCCTACGGGTCCTTAAGAAGGAATCGAACCTTGGCAAGAAAACTGCAAAAGACTGCCAAAAATGACCCCTTATCGACGCTTCTTAAGTCAATCCACGCCCCGTCGTTTGGGGACGTAGATCCACACATAGTTGTGGGAGCTTATCCCCCAGAAGTTGACTCTCTAAACCAAACAACGCCCAGCAGGACGGGGCATCATTCAAACAATGGTCAGTAACTTGGATTCATCATTTGGAGCCTGCAACACTGCCAACAATTTCTACCAGCTTAGGAAAATTCACCACACGTCCTAATTAACTAGTGGTCGGTTTTTTTAGGAATTTTTAGATATTTTAAGTTAGTTTATACCCCTAAGGCCTAAGATAGACTTCACTTTTCAAAATCAAAATCCCTCTCCCAAGAAAAACTCTCTTAAGACTTCATTGAAGCTTGAACTCAAAGAAGAGCTAGGATTGAAGATTTTGAGTGCTTTATTCACTAAATCTCTTGGGTTTTCTGCTATTAAGGTATGGTAGTTCATCCTTTATTATTCTCTCATTCAAGGAGACAATCCAAAGGTTTTCCAAAAAGGTTTCAAAATCCTAAATTCTTGTATTTTGAATTCTAAGCACGGATGTTTACATGAAAAGGTTTTAATGGATGGATTATGATGTTTTCAATATAAAGTGATGGTTTTATAATCAAAAACTCAATGGACCCATGAATATGCAATTTTTTTAAAATTGGGCTTATGAAATGGGTTTAATGTCTATGATTAGAAAATGTTATAGTTGTGTTTTTCTTTTGTCGTATTGTGATTATCTACTGTCATTTATGACTTATTATGATAATTTATTTGAGAATTAAGAAAAGGTGATCAAATTTTGGATGAAGGGTAAGTTGATCAATGTTGTTTAGTTCTTATTGAATTGATCTTGAGTGGTATGGTCCACTTATGGTGGCGCTGTTTACTTGATGTATATGATTATATATGTGAATTATGATTATGGACTTGAAGGCATTGAATGTGAAGTAAAGTGATGTTATGATGATGCATGAGATGTCTTATGAAGTTGAGAATATGTGTCTTGAAGATATTATGTATAAATGAAGTATAATATGAATGTGAAGCATGATAGTGTGTGAATTATGATTAATATACTATGATTATGTTTAAAAGTCAATGTTATGAATAAGGTGGTTATGTGAAGAGTGTTCTCACATATACTCACACGCACATACGTTGAATGAATTAATGAAGTTTATGATTAAAATGGGAGATTCTAGTGTAGACACTATTCGTGAGCAGAGATGAAGTGTCTAGTATCAACCCTACTATTCCTAAGAACTCTAGTGAATGAAAAAGGGGGATTTTGGATGGACACTCTTCGTGAGTTGTGATGAAGTGTTCAGTAGCAACCTCACTATTCCCAAGAGCTTTTCAAAGAATGGTTGGAAGTTGGATACTCTTCGTGAGTTGAGATGTAGTATCAAAAAGTAACTCTAAATATGAGTGCTCTTCGTGAGTTGAGATGTAGTACTTAATAGAAATCTCTTAACCTACAATTAATGAATGTAATGAATGTTTAAGACTCGGTGGGGGAGTTATGATTAGCACCGAGAGGATTTGAAGAAGGGGTGGATACTCTTTGTGAGTAGAGATGTCGTATCCAATGTACCTCTAGAGATGAGTACTCTACGTGAGTTGAGATGTAATACTTATAAGCAATCTCTTTATTCCTTAATTATGCGCCCGCATATGTTTATCTATTGGGGATCCAAGTAAAGGCTAAGAGAATGACCCTAATTTAGGCAAGTGAGGAACCCTCATGCGGTAAGGATTAATATTAGGATTTCATGTATAGCTCTCATGGTCTATGTCGGTTAAAGCTAGCCCCCACAAACTAATGTAATGAACTAAGTCTTCTTAAGGGTGTACTACTTAGGGTAGGTGGTGGAATGAGACGCTATCTATCCTTCGAACAAGTAGACATTTGGAGGAAGTCTTGGTGTGTCCTTATATGAAAATGTATTAATGCTTTACTATATAATGTTGATGAGGTAAATTGATTTTATGTCTAATGTTAATGAAGCATGTCGGTCTTATGTCTAAAAGTGATGAAAAATATGTAAATGATGAATGTGATGTGTCTAGTCTATGGTGATTCTCAAGGAACACTAAGGAGGGAGTAGTAGTATGGAATGGTACTTGCACATTGCACTAAGTTACACTTGGGGGTTGTCTTGGAGGATGATCTTTACGTGAAGTTCCTAAAGACATTTTTTCCTCTAGTATTATTAGTAATGAGTGTTGACATGTTGAATCGAAATGGAGCATGCTTATCTTTCGAAGTCTTAAGGATCACTTAGGTGTGTAATGAAGAGGTTGTACGGGCGGTCACTTCATGTCTTACCTAGGTGAGTCTCAGGATAACTTTGGATAGGAAGGTCTAATGATAAAATGGATTACGTGATGAATGTGATTAAATGTTGAGGTTAAGGAAGTTTTACTTGTATATGAAATGATGCTTTGTAAACTTGATCCACGAAGGTTTTACTAAAATAGCATGAAAAGTATGTTCCAACTAAAATGTCATTTTTAGCATGTTTTTGCATATGACCATACTAAGTACAATGTTTGTACTAACTTCATATTCTTTTATATTTCTATAAATATAGGTGAAAGGCAAGTGAATGTTCTTAGAAGGTGAAGCTTGTAAAGTTGATTCTCTTAAGATTTGTATGTCCCATATGTTTGAGGACATGAACTATGTTTCTTTTAGTTTCTTTCTTTTAAGACATTGTTTAAGTCTTATTATGTTTCTTTCAATATAATAGGTTGTGATCCTATAATATTAAGACGTGTCTAAGATGGCTTGTGATGATAAGACTAGTTCCTTAGTTTTTATAAAAGAGTTTCTTATTAGTTATGTTGTGAAAAGTTTTAATTCCACACTTCCTTTCATACTTATGTAATGAATGATAATTAAGAGTCTTGTAGAAGACCTCCAAAAGGTCAAGTACACCGTGTAACTTCTAGGGGATACTCCCCGATCATCACAATCTCTAAGTAATTAACTCATAAACTGATAAAAATTCGTAATTTACCTTTATTATCTCTAATTAGGTATTTGCCCTTTTTGTATATATTAGGAACTTGTCATAACATAATATCATGGGCTGGGCTGAAGTCTGTATACTGGATGAGGTACATAGGCCCAAAAGCCCAATAAATTCTGACGTGTTAAAATTTAGCCAATGATTTGCTGACAGGTAAGCATAGCGACGTGGTTAAACACCCCTTGTCCAATTAATGGAAGGAGTGTGACGCGTTTTTCTTGTGCCTCTCGTCCTCGATATCTTCGCCACCTATAAATCTTTCAAAAACAGTTGAAATTCAATCATTAATAAGACAAAATAAAATTGGGGCAAAGGGAAGGAGGAACAACTTTTAGCTGAAATATAATTCTCTCTGCAATTTTTCTGTTCTCATATATCGGCGGCCACCACATTTTCCTTTTAAAATGGTAAAATCTCTCTTCTGCTTTGTTTTTTATTGTTAATTTTGCTTCTGGCTTATTGTTCGGATTCATAATTATCCAGATCTATGATCGTGTAATTGTTCTGATGATTTATCATTATATTTGGATATTTTTTCTTATTTTTGTAAGTTTTAATAGGTAATTGGCCACGGATAACTGTTTTTTTTTAAATTAAAATTGCATTAACGGTTGATGTTCCTATCTCATTATTTTGATTAATTTTTGTCATTCGCATGATTGATCTGTTGATTTCTTAACCTTATAATAATTTTTTATTTTGTTTAATTGCTCTGATCCAGATACGAGTTGATGTTCGTTTCGGTAAAATTCTTAAAAATAATCATTTAGATCTTAGTTTGAATCATAAATATTCAGATCTAGTCTAGTAATTGGATTTGTTTTGTTCCGTTTAAAGCTGCTAATAGATCTGAATGAATTAGATTTGTAATAGAGTCTTAACATTGTTCAACTCGTAAAATATTTTTTCCCAAACATTCACGGCTACGTTTCTTCTCTCTGCAAAAAAAAATTCAAACATTTAGCCCTTATAAAATTTAAATTCTTAATCTGTATGTTTACAGTTATCAAAAAAGTATTTCAGAAGGATGAATGCATATGCAATTTCAATTTTCTTTAAGGGTAAAATTAATGCAAATGCAACAATTCTTCAAGAAAAATCAGTTTTCACCATTAAGCTGTCATGCTATCTTGTTACATTAATTTTATATTGATTCAGATTTCTCAAAATATTTGTTCAAATATGAAACATTCATTCAAAAAAAATGAAATATTTCATTCTATTTTTCTGATATAAGATTTTTTATAATATCTTATGAATATAATGTTTAATATTATTTTTATTTTAATTTTGTATTATGTTCAAATGGATAAATTATGCACATTTAGATATTGAAAACATGTTATCTTAGTCATCTAGAGACTTCATGATATTCATAGTATTTTGATTTGGATGTTGTTAATCTTAATGCACATCATTTTAATATTCACACGTATATTCGGACTCCTAAGAACCAATCCTAATGAAAACAAACAATGCCCAGGTCTTGTTTAATAAACTCTACATTACATGTAGTTTCTTTGGAATTCTTATGGATTATTCAGTGTGAATTCCATTTCACCTTTAAATTATCATGTTCATCCTTATTCAACATGGAGTATGCTTGTTCATCTCTTATCTTAAATCAGTAATTGTGATGGAAATATAACTGCACAGTAAATCAATCATCTTTTGGGACAATATCCAATGATCTTTTTGGACAATATCCAATGATCAATTGATAAGGATAATTTTTCTTCTTGTCATCTAATTTAATTGGTTAACTTTGGAATCAGGTGTACCTGTAGACTAAAAGACAATTAGTGCTTAGATTTTCCAATTTACTTTTAGATTTTGCATAGCATCAGAAGTGTTTTTGATTTTGGATTATTTGGGGAGAACTTCTCCCAGTGGGCAACATTATATATTCTTTTGCAGTAATTCCAATAAAGTAATAGTTCCTGCTTTTAGCAAGGATTCCCTTAATTTATCAGAAAGAGGTGTACACTATGGTGGTTTAGTCTTAGCATCCAGGTTATTTGGATAGTTAACTAAGCATTGGGAGTATATAAAACGCTAAAAGAAGTTGCAATAGACAACATTGATTTAGGACTAGAATGGGTTGTCATAGCTATTTTACAGCTAAAGAAAGGTTCCCCTCTGCTAAACCAAAGGGGTAATCTAAACTAGTGCATATTTGCAATATGGATGTATATGATGTTGAATACAAGATTTTGTTGTGAATCATTCTTTTTTGTTGCATTTGACCAGACTACATCAAGGCGTCTTGCTGATAGGAAGGTGGAGAGGTTTGAGAAAAATATTACCAAGCGAGGAGCTGTTCCTGAAACTACTGCAAAGAAGGGAAGCCAGTATCCAGTTGGCCCTATCTTGCTTGGATTCTTCGTCTTTGTTGTCATTGGCTCATGTAAGATCTTTGTACATCTTTTTGTCTCCAATTTTTTGCCTCTTGATATCCGAGGCATTTAACTAGAAGTATCTAAACTCTCGTTATCAATATATATTCCCACCATTATAGGATCTTAACCAGGTTATATGCATAAATATTTAACAATGTATATCAGCTGCTAGCAGTGCATTAGATAACCTAGCTTTCTTCTTTCGGGAAATAACTTTTTGTGTTGATCCTTGAGAGATTATTGTTTTCTTTTCTCATTCCTTTACACATTTTTTTCATGTTACCTGAGGATCCACATGAATATTTCTTTGCTTTACTGTTTTTGCTATTTTTGGTTGAAATAATTCTTTGTTCTCCGCTTGCAGCTTTGTTCCAGATAATAAGGACAGCAACCAGCGGGGGTATGGCTTAATCTTGCAAAGTTATACGAGTAGTGGCGCCTGCGTTGTTGTAGTTTTGTTTTCCTCAAAGTTTAGCTCAATGTAGAAATGAAAAAAAAAAAACTTTTGTAGTAATGTGTTTTTTTTAATTTGTGAGACTCAAAATATAAATTTTCTCGTCTCATTATGTGGTTAATGTTTGTGTTCTCCATCATTCTTCCTACCCATTTTTGGAGTATTCCTTTATTTCTGGTTTAAACATTTCATAAAATCCTTTTTACTGGAAGAACTGTGTCTATCAAATGGGAAGATATTTGGAACGAACTGCTGCACATATCTAATTATTTTAGAAGAAAAAATTAATTCTAAGAGGATCAATAGTGTATTAGCTTGTGGCAAAGCTACTTAACCACTTAAATAAGTTTTACTAGGGGATATTTCAATTACGTTTATTAATTAACGTAAATGGAAACAAAAAAAGAAGGAAAAGATCATCGGTGACTTGTCTAACTGGAGTTGATTATTGGTAACTAGAGAATAGCAATTTTGTATATGAACTTGTACATTTTGGAGTGTCAGCTATCAATATGAGAAAAGCATACATATATTTTGGGAATAATATTAGAGGATTGGAGTTGAATCGACTCGTCATTTTGATGACTTGTGCAATATTCGTAGCCCGATGTAATAACTCATGCATAGTAAAATGTCATTAGTGTCAAATGAATAATGACTTATGCAATATTCGTAGTTTCTCATATAATTGCAGCACTAGAGCCCGATGTAATAACTCATGCATAGTAAAATGTCATTAGTGGCAAATGAATGGATTGAGTTGAATTTAAATATGTTAAATTGGGTTGAGATAATAAATTAACAAGTTATTGGCAATGACTTGAGCTGAAATGCTAACTCTTATAATTCAACCTTTTTAAAAACAAAATAAAAAATTGAGGCATGTAAGCCTCTTTTATTAGAAACACAAAAGTATAATATGTATGCATCAAAAAAAAAAGAGGAAAGGCTATATTGTCTATTTGTTCTTTTATTATAAAATTCTAATATTTAATTAGAAAAACTGTTTTCTTTATCATGATAGCATATATAATAGCATATATCAAATAAATATGTTTGACAAAATATATATCACAAGTCAATTTAAATTCAATTCGTAATGAATTAAAATTATTGGACTGAAACGAATTGAACTACTCCATGAATAAGCGGGTCTAACTTTAACATATTGGACAGATTGAAGGGGTTGAGTTCTATTTTTGTCTCTCCTATATTATGTAAAAAAGCTGGATTGATTTAAGTAAATTATAAAAAGACAGATGCTCCATAATAGAACCCAATAAACTCCCTTGAAAGTTTTAAAGCTGGCTGAATGTTAAATAGTAGGTAGAGCATTGTAGATTAGTCTCCTCATGAATCAAAAGCTCAAAAACTAGTAGTAGATGTTTATACAAGAGAGAGTGGCAATAAATTCACACATAGTTTTTCTTCTTATATCAGCACAGAAGACTGGACTGCAAATGATAATTGGAAAAGCTAGTATAGTGCCCTGCTGGGACTACAACTTTACTGGGCAGTCCAAATCAAGCCACAGCTGTTAGACAGGGATGAAAAGCAGTCCCACATGCGATCCATTGCCTCTTTTTCCCACGTGGCAAAACGCAACCAGGGACCTTCATCCATTCTCTGCTTGAGAAATCATATGTAACTAGACGGTTCATTTGTCTTGATCTTAGCGATAGCATGAGCAAACCTTTGTTACCCAAGCAAGTCATTCGAACGTGCTTTCCATAAAACTCCAAGCACCATATGTTTGGCATTCTGTCAACCTCCTTCCACAAAAGAGTCATCTTTTGCAGCTCCCATATGCACACGCAAGTGGCTGCGTTCTTTGACAGCAGACCCACAAGCATTATGCGCCCCCCACATTCTGCTAGTGTATGATCACTCAAATGTAGAGGGGCAGGGATAATGAACTGTTTCCAAACCCCAGAAACCACGTCATAGGACACGATCCCATCAGGGTCCGAGCGCATGAAGTAAAGTTTACTACCGATGGACACTGTCTGCGACTTGAAGTTGAGTGCCAGAGGGAGCTTAATATTCGACGTCATGGTTCCTGGACGAGCCCAAGAGTTATTTCTGGAGTCGTAAACTTCAAACTCTCCATCGCAACCAACCCAAAGGATATTGTATCCCTCACCGGCTGATTTCCCACACAATGTCATACCTACTGCCACACGGGACCACACTTTAACTGATCTGGCTGGTAGCTCTTTGAAAGACCTAGTGAGAGGGTTGCATACGTAGAAGCTCCTATGTCCAATATCAAGGAAACAGACAAGACCTCCTGCAGAAGCAACTGGCAAGACTATCAACTTGGTTGGCAGTGCAGGTATAGTAGGATGATGCCATTTCTTCAATGTTGGGTCATACATGGCTCCAGTATTCACGTTTTCATGAGTAATGGTGTAGAACCATGGTTGTGGTTGACGAACTTGGGCACACTCTTCAGAAAAACTTTGGGACGTCAGCATTGAGTTCCATTTTCGGCAAACTAATCTGAAGCGGAAAAAAGTGGCAACTGGTAGTCTTGCAACAACAGCTTCAAATAGGTCTTCAGGAAATTCTTTCCAAATTTGCTGATCCAAATTCTCGATGGAGCATGAAGTTCCAGTCACTTTTCCCTGATTTCTCTCCTTCCGGGCTTTCTTCTTTGGTGGAGGCTTTCCTGGTTCCAACATCTTGAGATTTTCAGATTTTCCAGCAGTCATGATGATATTGTAGCAACTGTCTTCGGCAGAATTTTCATCAAGATTCAGAAAATAACATCTGCACAAATGCAAAACTGGTTAATTTACATATTTCTTGCCAAAGCCAAAAGGTTTCAAAAATTGCATTATGCAGTGAATCATGAAACCAATATCTTATATGAGAAACTGAAAAAAGACTGAACACCCCTGCAAGTTAACCTTCAAGGTAATTAAAAATTCGGGGATACCCGTGGATTTAAATACCTAGTTTTTTTCATTTTTTTTGCTTTAACGTGTAATTTTATCATTCATTCATACAACAACACACCCAGTGAAATCCCACAAACAGTGCCTGGGTGAAAGTAGAATATACACCGACCTTACCACTACCTTGTTGAAGTAGGGAGGCCATTTGCGAGAGACCTTCATCTCAACGCCAGCAAATCCAGGTAAAAAAGAGACAATAAAAAGAATAGAGCAAGTAACAACAAAATAGTGTGATAATGGAAAAACACTAAACAACATACTAGGATAGATTATTATAAACATTATTCAACACCGAGAATTATTAAAAACAAGAACTACAACATTACAACTAGTACAATGACAATGACAAACGCCAACCACCACAAGCAAGACAAGACTACACTACCTACTACTTCATCAAAAAAACACTACACTACCTACTAACCATCTACCCTAATATGTCTCCCCCACGCCTTCCTTATCTAAGGTCATGTCCTCGGTAACCTGAAGTTGGGTCATATCTTATCTTATCACCTCTCTCCAATTCGTCTTTAGCCTACCTTTGCCTCTCCTGATACCCTGTATATAACCAACCTCATCTACCTTCTCGTTGGTGCATCTACACATCTCTTCACATATCCAATCATCTCACTCTCACTTCATCTTGTCCACAACAGAGACCACTCCCACCTTATTACGAATATACTCATTTCTAATCTTATTGATCCTAGTGTGACCACACATCCACCTCAACATCTTCATCTACCCCATATGCATCTTCCGTACATAGGAGTTTTTGACAAGTCGACGCTCTGCTCAATACAACAAAGTCGGTCTGACTACCACTCTATAGAACTTATCTTTGAGTTCCGGTGGTATCTTTTTATCACACAAGACTTCAGTGGCGAGCCTCCACTTCATTCACCACACCAATACAATGAGTGATATCATCGTCGATGTCTCCAGTTCCCTAGATTATAGTTTATCAACCCAAAATACTTAAATTTGTCGCTCTTGGGGATGCTTCGTGTTTCAAGCCTGACTTCCACGCCTACCTACTCCTAATTATTCATTCATAAAGTAATATGTTGAAAAAAAAAGCTTTAAATTGGGTGGGTGATCCTCCTATTGAATAGACCGTAGCCAAACCTGATACAAGTGAACACATAAAGAATGGGCGCTTGTGAGGAATCATGTCAAAGGAACCCGGCAAAATGACCTGTGACGACGGACAGGTATTGTAGCACTTCATCAGCCCAATCCAAAATGCTCAGGTAATTGAGAAGATTCCAGATTAGGTAAATATAGGTGATGCGCCTAAACTAACCTTTGTAAAGCTAGTGAGAAGGTTTTATTTTTGCAAATTTGCTTAAATTACTAAGTTCTATTATAGTATTATTACAAGCTTATCTAACTTATAAGATAACCATCAAGTCTAAGAGAACATTGAACATGGAGAACTTTCACATGAAATTGATCTGTTTTACTCATGTTTCACCTTTACTGTCAGTTTGACTGCAACACAAATTAATATAGAGGCTTCATTTTAACCAGACCTGTGTAACCAATATCCTCAGCTTTAATGGTTCTAGAGAACGATGTGCTAAAAAAGCATTTACTCTTGAGAGTAAGAGTTAGCAGAACCAGTAACTTGGAAATTAAATCATACAGAAATAATCATACTACTGAAAGCAGCATTTCCCTAATGACTCTTCTACGCAACAGGGAACATAACTACTAGTCTTAACATGTGATTATTCCACCTAATTCACTCACCAAAGCACAACGTAGTTAACAGATGCATCTGCAAACTCTATGCACCTTCATTTCTGGTTATTCTAGACCACACTTGCTGATGTTCACTAATAGGAGAAGAAAAAAATGTTAAAATGCAGAGAATTCAGTCACGAAGATGCTAGAAACCTGCACCCTAGGGTGTGTTGAAAACCATGAGAGGCGCCGGTCTAAATCCTGGTAGATATAAAGACACTAAGGTTTGGTGGAAAGAGTAACCCAGTACCTGTGCTTGAGAGAGGAAGAAGGGCCTGATGGAATAGCTGAGGTGTGCTTAAACTGGACCGGACACCACTTTTATAAATGACAAAAATAAAAGTAGAGATGCTGGAAACCTTAATATAGTGTTAACGCCACAAAAGCAGGCAACCATCTCCAACCAACAAGACAAGTATCAGCCAGATATAAGCTCCAATAAT